GCTTCAAGTCTATTTTCTTCCTTTTCCAAGTTGCCGTTTACTGCTTACCTGTGATAATACAGTGATTGTGTCTTTCCAAAACATTGGTGATCTACGCTCAATACTGTTCCTGAAGGCATCCTACGTAGACACATGCTAAGCGTTGAAGCTGCTGATGCTTCTCTGCTGACGTGCTGCTCATGCTACTCATGCTGTTATAACTAAGAAGTTATATAAACCACATAATAATTGTAAAAAAAATCAGCCAACCAGTATTTCTTTTACTCACTGGTCTTTTTCATTTTTTTCATTTTGATATCAGCATTACTTTGTTTACTGTCTCCATCTTTTTTTTTTTTGCATCTGCAATGGGCTGAGCACAGACAGACAGCAACAATACAGACATAACAAGTTCTCCAGCATCCATTTGCAGCTGTTGCTTGCTTCCTTGACCAGCATATGGGTAGAGAGCAGAGAACAGCAGTCAGACAGTAGATTAGCACCTGTACATTATGTTGAAATGGTGCTTTTCCTTAGCCTTGCTGGCACCTTGCTATCATCTGGTTTCTCTCTCGCTTGCTTGTTCTTGCTTGTCCTTTAGTTGTTCCCCTTTATCCTCCTCCTCCTCCTCACTGTGTCTAATTCTGTCATTCTTTCTCTCAGTGTCTATATCTGCTCCGCCACACATGCAATTCAATGTGACCTCTTCGTGGCCTCCAGGCAGCCAGTCTGATGGGAGAGCATCCTGCATGGAGCTTTTAGAGGCACCGGCACCCCAGGCCACTTCAGTAATGGAAGTCTCCAGAAACCACAGGGGCTCAGAAGCTAATGGTAATGTGTCCTTACAAAAAGACTTCATTTCTCTCTTTCTGAGGTAACAGTTGTGACATGAAAGGCAACGTGGTACATTCAAATACTACAAAAACTGCTACAAAGTTTCTGATTTTTACAGAAGGGGAATGTTTTAGACACACAAATTGTTCCTGTTTAGACTTAAGTAGATTATGGCTCTTAAATCAAATAAGACAGGTGTTCATACAGCAAAATTCAGCAAAAGAAATCCAGATTTGTCATTACTTTACAGTAAGTGCCTTAATAAAGAATTATTTCCCTTCTTTAAGAGTAATGGAAATATTGGCAATATTCCCAAATGTATCCCCTCTCTGAAAGAATAACACTTGCACCCATTCATTAAATCTTGATATATATTCATATAATGATATTGGGCTCCTTAAGAAGGACTTGTTCTTTCCCCTCAGTAACCCATCTTCCATAACCTGAACACATTTTACTAAGTAAATGAACTAAACCACCTGAATATAAACTGTAGAGTCTCAGTAATAAAATCACAAATCAAGACTTTGTTGTTCAACGCATGATTTTGCGATTACGGTGAGGAGACATCCATGCTACCCATACACACACATTTCCACACACACACCATCTGACCACAGCCCCTCACTGAAACGGACACAGCCGCTCAGACTGTGACACGATGGATCGATGCCGACAGCCCTCCGACCTTCCTCCTGCCCCATCTCCCAACACCTCCTTTGACTGACAGCTCCCATCAGTCTGTGTCTAATGCTCCCTGGGCACACATGCATGAATGCAGAAATACACGCACAAACACATCCCTTACAAAAAAAACACATGGGAAATGAATGATCTCACATGTAAAATATACAGCAAAACAAAAGTAGGCTAAAAGTGAGCATATTTTAAAAGAACTACTTTTTGTTTTAGTACTTGACCACCCCTGATTGTATGATCTTTCATTTCATCAGGTCACCTTGACATCAGGGCAAATACTTGACATGCTGACATGCTACTTTCCAGTGTTCGACAATGCCTGCGGTGCTAAAAGTAAAATGAGGATGTGATGTGCACATTTTGCAGGTACTCAAGGATACAGTGTGGACCGTAGGTGCCAGCAGATCTTACTATTGCTTAGTTGTAGTATTATAGTCTGGAGTTAGGCTTTTTTTTGCTCATGCTATTCATTCAAAATGTACACTACAAGCAGACTGTAGTGCCTGTACGATGCAACATATCTGGTGTACTAGACCTTTTATATTGGGACGCTTGGAGGATGTTGTTTTTGTAAAACTTGTCTTTGTGAGACATTATGTAATTTCTGTTTGGTTTTCTGAGGAGAAAATAAATTCACATGAATGGAGAATAACACAGTGATGTCTTCTCCTGCATTGAAATGTATTGCATTAGTAAGATTACGTAATAACTGAGCAAAAGACGGACTCCCTAAAGCAAGTGGAGCTTTTACTCCAAAGTGTTTCAGACATTTGTTAATGTACTTCTTCTTTCCTGTGACAGTTATGCATTTATTTTTTTCACATTAGCATGTTACATCATAGCAGTATTTGTTGGAGAGTTTAGACATGGGACATGTCATGGAATGAAGGACCTAACAGATCTTACAGTTTCTTAATCCTACCCATTTTTTGTGAGGAACAAGAAAAAAAGGTTCAGTACAGTATGGAAATATATAAAATTGTAGTCCAAAACTGTTTTACCAGATGGCAATTCTTTAATATAAAAATAAGTCAACCTCTTCACAAAGAACATGTCTTGCTTTCAATTGACGCCCCCAGAAATGTGATACTCACACAGAACACATTACACAGCTTGTGATCAACACATCCATCACCAAACACCCTAAACAGCAAGCAGGTAGTTTCAAGAAGTTCTTCCTCTGTGACATTTTCCTCCATCAACAAACAAATCAACTGCAAAATCCATAGTTAAAGAGGCAGCAAGACTGAAAGCTGGATACAGCAGCATCTGATGCTGGTTGCCGTCTCTCCCTCTCTCTGTGCGTCTCTGATAAGAGCATGAGTGTATCTCTGGCCTTTGAGTCAAAGCAGTACAGTGCCAATAAGGGCTCCCCTTACACAGTGGGAGTTAGTGCAGCGCAGGCACATCGTGCTGCCCTACCAGTGCTGGCACATCAATACACTGACCGTACCACACACTTAAACCCAGAGGTTAAGATTCTTCAAAGTCAGTTTTCCTTATTCTACATAATAGTTTGCATGGAGGGAAAATAACTAGTTTAGATATGTTGTGTTTTTTTGCCTGTCTTCCAAGTGCGTTGTTGCTTGGCTGGAGGTCATGCCCAGTAGCAAACGCGGTGACAGCAAGAGGAACTAAAAGGAAGTGAAGCAGGTGGCGAAAGAAGAAAATAAGAGCAGAGGACGAAGGAAAGGGGAAGGTGAGAGAAGACAAGGACAGGGTGAATGGAAAAAGAGGACAGCGGAGGGAGATGAGACGGGACAAAAGAAAAATAAAGCCTGGGTTTCTGCATGTAGCTGGCTCAGTGCGGTTCATATGCCTGCAGGTAATCTCTCCCCGTCTCTGACCTTGAGCGCTTACCTCAGGACAATCATAACTTACGCCAACTCAACACAGTGAGAGAGAGAGAGAGAGTGGGCACAGCGCTGACCCAAGCACATCTCTAGAGGAAATCACCCCCACTCGGGAGGGGGGGTTTACGCTGCCAAAAGCATTAACTTCCAATGGTTTTTTTTTTTTGTCCAACACAGCATGCAATCAAGCAAGAAAGCAAGCACTGGCATTGTTTGTCTGATGAGTCTGTACACTGCACCTCTCTCTATTCCTCTGTTGTTTCTTTCTCTACCTCCTCTCTGCCTTGCTGTCCTTTCCTCTCCTCTCCTCTTTTGACTGTGCTTTTAGCTTCTTCTCATTCATTCCTACCATGGGGGGATTTAGTGTTGTTCCCCTCAATTTCGTAATTAGTAAAAGACAGCTATTGACTCTGCCAGAGTAGCTTTCAAAAAGATATGAAATTAAAATGGGAGAAAGGGGAAGTAGGTGAAGAGAGGATAGAAAAGTGGGACAGAGGACAAAGGGTAGAT